TCCTCCACAACTAGACTGAGGAACGAAACGACAGCAACTTGTCTGTTCCCCTCCCCCCAATTCCCCAGCACTGTTCCCAACCCCCCAATTCCCCAATAAAATAAAATAAAAATGCATGAAAATTTTGAAGGATTACATAAATTTATACAGAAGCTCTGTTGGTGTGCCCCAAGGATTCATTTGGCACGCCCCCACGGCTGCACCCAACCACTTTGCAGACAGCTGCGCCTGAGGCTTTCTCCAGAACTCAGGGCTGGCCTAGACTGAGCCCCCTGCTCCCATGGCCTCCCGGCCCCCACTCCTTCAGTTCTATTCTTGGTTATGGTTTTGCTGTCCTAGTGAGAATGGGTCTTTCTCGGAGCCTCTGGGTGCCCAGCTTCTCTTTCGCTATGATGCTTTCTTTTAAGGAAACATGTTCACAATCTTTAGTGATTTAACAATTAGTATCAGATGACTTGTCACACACCCTCACCTCCAGCTCATGGCCCCCTGGGGTGAGAATTAAAGGCCATAGGTAGTGTTACATTATCTGCCAGCCTGGGAGAAAGTTCCAGAAGGTTCATCCTACAAGGAAGAGAACGGAGGGAGGAAGGGAGGTCTTCCTGTTCTACATGATGGCTTTCCCAAGCTGACCTCAAGTTGGTTAGATGGAAAGTCAGGCAGGAGTGGAGACATTTCCTGGCCAAGTTGCTGGTCTGCAGACCCCTTGTTCTTGCATAACTGGAGAAGGAGAGAGCCAGCCCTGTGTCCAATCCATTGTGCCAGAACAAGGGCTGGAATCTGGGGACAAGACTCGAGTGGCACTGACACCCCCATGGACCTCCAGCCCACCCACCAGTCTCCAAGACAGAGCCCTTCAGTATATTAGAGTTTATCTGCAGGCACAAATATGAATGGAATTTCAGCCACCACCACCCAGACTCCTTTCTGGTAGCAAAGTGCTCATTGTTGCATTTGCACCCTGACCCGGGCATTCAGATGTCGTCACCGTGCAAATATTTCTTGGTCTTGTTTGGGAAGCATCCAGTTAAATGAACCTCCCCCAGACCATGCTGCCAGCTCTTGATGGCAACCCACTGTGATCCCAGAGCCCACAGTCCAGCCTGGCCTCAGGCAAGGATCTGGGGGCTGCTGGATCACTGATGAGAGGCACCCAACCAGCCTGGGGAGGACTGGGGAGGGTGTTTGGGGTGCACCAAGGGCCATAGGGAGAGCACTATTTCAAACAGAAGGATGCTTCACTCCCCATCCCAACTACAGGTTAGATAGATAGTGTGGAAGCCTGAATAAGGTCCCCCCAAAGATGTCCATGTCCTAACCCCCAGAACCTATGAATATGTTATATGGCAAAGGGATTTTACAAACATGACTACTGGTAAGTTAAGGACCTTGAGATGGGGAGATTATCTGGGTTAACCACGTGAGCCCATATAACCGCAAAGATCCTTGAGAGGAAGGCAGGAGCGTCAGTCAAGAGTGGATATTATGGGAGCAGGAATTTGGAAAGATTTCAGGAAAAGGCCATGAGCAAAGATAGTCTTTAGAAGCTGAAAAAGACAAGGAAACATTCTCCCCTGGAGCCTTCAGAAGGAACCGGCCCTGCCACCATCTTGACTTCAGTCGAGTAAGGCTGATTTTGGACTTCTGACTTCTGACCTCCAGAATTGTAAGAGAATAAATTTGTATTGTTTTTAAACAACGAAGTCTATGGTAATTTGTTATAGCAGCCACAGAAAAGTAATACAGATGATTTGGTTAAAGAACTACCCCAGCATAGGGTTGGACACATGGACTCAGGGGTACTCTGCAGTCCAGCAACCATGCCTAGTCCAGGAGGGGTTGGGGATTAGAAACCTAAGCAGGCGTGACCCTACCTGGCACGTTTCCAAGAGTCCCCTCTGGCCTTGTTGCATAAAAGAAGCTCCGGCAACTTCCTTTCTCCTTGACGGCCCTCAGTTGTCATGCAGGACCTCTGAGCTCTGGGGCTTCAGAAAGGGGATGAGGGGGCAATGGCCAGCCGTCATTAAGCACTAGACTCCATTTGGGACCCTCACAGCTCCCAATGCACTGCCTTGCTGTCCCACCCTGTTCCCCTCCCAGGTTTCTCAGTTCCCGTGGGGTGAATTGAATGGAAAGCCTTGTCAGTCCTGCCCCCTGCCCCTGCCTAGCCAATTCTGGGAACTAGAGATGCAGTGTCATGGGGCCTGAGACCATCTTCCTGTCTGTAGTTCTCAGGGACTAAGCCATTCTCCCACCCAAAGCAGTCACATTGCTACCTCCCTTCCCTGCTGGCTGGGTCTCTCTAAGTCCCCACTGCTCTTCAGAGGGTGACACCTTTTTCTGGGCTCTGATATGGCCAAGCGTGTTGTAAACAAGACAACAAGGAGTACCTGCTGGGAGATAGTTCTCCATGTGCCCACCCCTTCCTCGCCTCCTCCAGCTGCTACGCCTTCCTGCCTATCTGCCATTCCCTGCCTTTCTTACTCACCACCTCCAGCCTCCAAGGATCCTGCCTTGACTCCCCCTGCCATCCGGAGTGGTCTCTTCTCTAGGGAGGCTGCAGATCAGGCTGGCTAAGGTCTGGGTCTCCGGTATTGGCTCCCCCAAGCCCACGCAGCCTCGGAAGCCCTGAATCCGGAGTGCAAAACCCTCCCTTTGGGCCTGGCAGGCTTAGCAAGCCTCCAGGGCTGCCTGAGGCCAAAACCAAAGGTTTATGAGGAGCCCAGTCAGGAGTCAGACTGGTGAGAGGTGCCTGGGTTCAGGCCCCTGCTGTCATTTCTACCCACAACAGCTTCTACCTGGTACAGCTCCAGGAAGTAGCTTCACCCAGACAAACCAGCCCTGTGCCATCCTCTGCCCTTTGGACTCAGCCAGATGCTAACATGGGTCACTCCCTTCCTACCTCAAGAGAGACTTCCTGGGGCAAGGGCCCTGTCTTCTTAAACCCTTAGGATTGGGAGAACTACCCATGCCACCCAGAATTACTGGTGATTGGTGCCTTCATACCATCTCAGTTGGTGGTTATCAACCTCGGCCTCTCATTGGAATCATCTGGGGTGGGGGCGGTGAGCTTTAAAAAAAGATACTGGGCCTGAGTCCTACCCGCAGAGAGTTCGATGTGATCTGTCTGGGAGCTGACAAGCACCAAGATTTTTACAGTCTCTCCAAGGGATTCTAAAATGCAGCTTACAACCACTGATTCTGAACTTGTAGATTTTGAACTATGTTTTCAAGATAATAGGGCTTTCAAAGTAGTCCTAGGAGTGGAGCCCTGAGTCCAGGCAGCTTTGTGCTGCATCGAGGCAGGTGGCATCAAGCAGGTGAGAAACAAGGCTGGAGACAAGGCCAGTCACCTAAGCAACCTGTGGCCCTCGGTCTCTGGGTCTGGAAGGTATAGTCTGCAGATCTAGAAATTAGTGAGGGAGGAGGCTAAGGGAGTGGGGGTGGGGTAGTGAGGAAGGCAGGAGAGAGAGAAGAAGAGAGAGGAGGACAAGCTGTCCCCTATCAGTGCTGTGATGTTTGACATGCTCTAACTTAATGGAGAGGGAATTTCACATGGAAACAGAGGAAGATATTTGCAGCCAGTAAGATCCATTCCCTTTGGTTGAAGCCAAATTCAGAGGATAATTGGAGTGGAAGGTGGGGGGGGGGGGGTGGAGGGGACAGGAACAGAAGGATGCTCAGGAAATCCAGGCAGGGACTGTTCACAGTAGCCAATGGGGGTGGGAGGAGGGGCTCTGCAGGCAAGCCCTCTTAGGACTTAGGATAAAGGCTGTAGTCCCTTCCATCTGCCCCGCTCTAGGCTTTTCTGGAGATGTCATTTGATGTGCACAAAAGCCCAAGCTGCCAGGTGTTAATATCCCAGTCTCAGATCTCAAGCTCAAAGTCAACACAGGTCTGTTCCATCTTCAAATATTATCTCAATTTTAGGCTTGTGGCAGGAAAAAGCCATCCAGAATTCCTCTAGTCTCTTTGGGAAAGTCTCTCCCTAACTATATAAAATACTATAAAAATATTAGAATACACCAAAGAAGAGAAGTAAAACCTTTTCTTCTCACCACGTAGATCCTGCCAGCACCTCCCCTAATTCCTAGGGCAGAGTCTCTGTCA